TCAACTGCTTCATCACAAAGAATTGAAAAAAAAATTGAATGCTTGACATTTTTTATTAAAACTTCCTCAATTGCTTTCCCACAAGAATCAATAAGTTGGTTTTGGGTAGTTTTTGATATATAGGTTGCATTTTTTGGACTTGAAAAAAGATGATTAGCTAATACTTGATCACCAGCATCAACACGGAAATTTAAAAGCTCTATGAAGTTACTGACTCCAACTTTTTGTGTAGAAGATTCCCCAATATCAGGATGATATTTGCTATCATCACGATGTCCACGAAATGCTAGATCGTTTCTACCAAGAAATATTATTGTTTTAATTATTGGAACTAATTTTTTTCGGTTATCAGAAAGAAGTTACAAACGAGAATTATTTAAATCAACCTCAATAACATTACTTTTGGAATTGCAACTTGAAAGCAATGCATTAAATGAAAGCATAGATTTTTCATGTAAAACACAATTTTCCTCATGTTTTCTATAATCACGAACAGCATTACCCCACTCTTGATGGGGCTTGAAAACTAAATTTAATATTCCAGACTTATTTTGAATACTAGCACCTAGCAAAGTACAAGGAAGACAGTAAGCTTCATCTTCTTTGCTAAAATAAGCTAACCAAGAAAACTAGCTGAGCCATTCAAATTTAAATGATCTTTTTGTATTAAAAGATATTGGAAAAACAAACATAGAATTAGGACAAAATACTTTGTTTACCATATCTAACAAAATAGAATCATCTTTGCCAGCAATTAAAAGTTTACCTTGAACAAGATATGTTGAAACATCATACAAAGAATTTAATTCATTATATGAAGGAATAATAACTGAGTTGGAGTCTAATGACTTAACTATTTTTGAATCTACAGAAGGTTCAAAAGGCAACTCTATGAAAGATTGTCTTTTTTAAAGTTAATTTTAGATTGAATTTTGACATGTTTTGCAGAATCAAGTTTTTTTTTTTTATTTGTTTCAGTTTTAGGACTAAAAAAGTTTAAAGGATAAGTAGCATCGTTTTTTATAGCCAAATTCTTATTATTACTAGAAATTAGTTTAGGCTTTTTAATAATTGGTACAAAATGGTTCGGTGTCCGGTTATTATTATTTTGCATCACTGACATAATATCAGTATTACACCATAAAATATTTAAAACATTTTGATCTTGATTTTTAATTGAACGAAATGGAAAAATAATTGTATTAAAAAGTTTTTTGAATTTTTCTAAGCCAAAATCTGGATAAATTGATCTAATAGGAATATAAAATACCATTAACTTTAATAATAGGGTTTTACCTTAAAGCAACATAATCTTTAGTATCTTCTTGCTTTGGGATAAAACGATCCATTTCAGTATTTTCAGATACTGACTATGTGGCTGAACTGGACTCATTATTTAAAACTTTTAATTCTTCAGTCAACTGGTTTTTATATTTCCGAATATTTGGCAAATGTCTAGCCTTAATTGCATTTGAGACTAAAAAATTCATTTTTTTTTTAACTTTAGTTTACAAGCAAAGTCCAACGACGAAAATTACGAGCGAAGAACCTTTATCTGGTAGCATATCAGAATTTTGTAAAATTTGAACGATTTGGAGCAACTGATGCAATTGTTCTAAACTTTCTACAAATTTGATTGGTTATGAATAACATTTCTTATATTTTTTGTAAAGTTTTTTGCGGAAGTTTTGTAGCAACTGATGCAATTGTTATTTTATTAAATAGTGATTGGTTTAAACTGTTTTTTAACCAATCATTAATGATTTAGAGTACAATTGCATCAGTTACTACAAAGTGATCGGAAAAATTTGTGAAAAAGTACAAATATGATTGGTTAAAACGTACTTTTTTTTTTTTTTAACTAATCACATTTGTATTTAATGAAGAACAATTGCATCAGTTGCTCCAAAACGCAGGAATTTTGTATAAGTAACGAATAAGTAACTATAGAGATAAAATAAAATCGAGTTTAAATGAATTTTTTTCGAGTTTAAAACAAGTATTTTATTTTTTGTGAATGCCAGATTCCAATTTCTACTTTTACTTTTTATTAAGAAAAAAAAGTGAAAAAGAGATACACTTAAATTTAGCGTTGAAAAAAGACTGATGCATGCGCATCATTCGCGACACCCTGGATCCGCCCCTGATACTAGATACATTTTGCTATAAACGAAACTTCCTAGACTTAATGCTAATAAGATCAGGTTCTCTACTGCAGATAAAGAAGAGCAGTTGTGTAAATATCCTTTTGGAATAGTTGAAACACATATACTACATAATTTGGAAGACACACTTGAGTTTGATATATTAGGAACTTCCTAGGTATGAATTGTTGAAGATGAAGCTGTTCTTGTTATCATCTCCATTCAATCTTAAATAAATTTTAAAAGTTCTTTAGTGATTATTTATGTATAAATATATATACAAATTGGAAAGTTTTTAAAATGTTTGAAATAACCAATTTTTAGACGAAAAGAATATTCGAAACTATTTTACGTTCATATGTATGACGAAAAGATTCTTCACAAAAATAAATTAATGAGATAGGAGTATGGGAACAAGAAACTTAGCCCCCCACCCTGCCCCAAACGTGAGAGCAACAAGTTGATGAAATATTTTTTGTACTATTTTACTAGACTTATATTCATCGATAAATTTTAAATTTCATAGTAAAATATTTTAGTGTTCAAAAATTATGACCATATAAAGTTTTCAAATTTTATATGGTCATAATTTTAAACGCTAAGAAAGTATACTATGAAATTTAAAATTTCTCGATGAATGTAAGTCTAGTTGAAAATAGTATAAAAATTATTACATTAACTTGTTGCTCTCACGTTTTAGGTGGGGGGGATCTAAAATTTGAGGATTTCTTGTTCCCATTCTTCTATCACAGTAATTTTTTTTGTCAAGACTCTTTTTGTCATACTTATGTACATTAAAAAATTTGAAAGATTTTTTTTGTGGAAAAAATGGTTAATTCAAACAATTAAAAACATTCCTACACCAGTGTGTGTGTATAAATAAATGTATATATATATATATATATATATATATATATATATATATATATATATATATATATATATATATATATATATATATATATATATATATATATATATATATATATATATATATATATATATATATACATTTATTATATATATATATATGTATATATATATATATAAATATATATATATATATATACATATATATATATATATATATATATATATATATATATATATATATATATATATATATATGTATATATATATATATATATATATATATATATATATATATATATATATATATATATGAATATATACATATTTATATGAATATGTATATATATATATATATATATATATATATATATATATATATATATATATATATATATATATATATATATATATATATATATATATATATATATATATATATATATATATATATATATAAACTTCTGCATATAATCGCGCACCATGGATTTTATTTGCTTTGCAAAAGAATTACATTTTAAATGTTGCTTAACTTGTTATTGTTAGTTAAGGTTTCTTTATAAATAAAAAATTTTAAAAGTCTGCTATTATTTCTACTATTTAAAAAATATCAGCTTTTAAATATCTCTTATATAAATAGTTTGTCAAATATTTTTCAGCAATTAGAAATTGCCATAAATAGTTACTTTTTTTCCGTTAAATTGTTAAAGGTGCAAAATTTTGAAGGAATTTTTAAAAAGATGTTCTATTTTAAATTTCAAATGTAAAATAGACCACTTGCCTGTAACTTTCAGACCTATGTTTTTATAAGATTTCAAATCAGTCTAATGTGGGTTTGATTATAAAAATGGGTGGGTGTAAAACTATCCTAACACCCTACTTTGCCCCATTTGGATCCTTAGCACTTGGTTTAGATTTTAAAAACAACTTTTTCTATTATTATAAAATAAATGCTATTAAATAAAAAAAAGTTTTGTTTAATTGACACGACATAAAACTGGCGGTCTCTCTGGTCTACTGTGTACTCCAACCTTGAATTTAATAAACTAAAGAATTACTCGAAAAGAAACCCTGCTGAAATAAAATAAAAAAATTAGAAGTAAAGCAGTTTATACTACCAGCAGTAAAAAAAAGTGAAGTTGTCAGCTCCAACATCGGTAAGGAAGAAAGGCATGAACTTTCTAGTTAAATGCTCTTCTGCGGCTGTGATAAGACCGTAATAGCTTCTTGGATCAAATAGAAATAAATAATAATTGCAAAAGAAAAGAAAAAAGTTGCAAATAGTGCAGAAAAGTTTATAAATTATACATGATTTCATGCAAAAATCTTAATAGCAGCATTTCGCTTTGAAATTTGTTAAAGAGATGCATAAATTTTTTTTTTTTTTTGTATTTTAAGTAAATATATCATTTAAATTTATGTACAAATTTTAAAGTTTTTAATGTATTTTATGATGATTGTTTTTAACGAATCTCTTGCAAAAAAAGCGAAGAAGTTTTTTTGTTTTTACGTTTTTAATAGGGAAAGGTCTTGTTCTTTGAGACAGCTCATTTATTATTTATTTTCAATTGAATGGGTTTTTTATTATTTTTTACATACTATAGTAAAATCCAGCATTTAAACCAGTGATATTTTCGTACACGAGAACGAAAACGAGAACGAAAAAAAAAGCCTTTCGTTTACGAAAACGAAAACTAAAACGAAATTTATTTTAAGAACGAGAACAGAATAAAAACGATAATTTTAAATTTTCGAACGGAATAAAAACTGAATCGAAAATTATTTTAAAACGAAATATTTTCGTTCTAGATTTGAAACGAGTTGAATTATTTGATATATATAATTATTATATTACAATACATTATAATGATATATTATTCGAACTTAATTGAATTTTCTTCAATTAAGTTCGAATAAGTTTAGTTATGATATAGTTCGAATATATTTATTCGAATATCTTTTTTCAAACTAAAAAAAATTAAACTGTAAGACCAACACAACTACGCGATGAGTTTGAGTAAACTTTTTGCTGGTAGGAAGAGGAATAGTTCAGTATGGAAATGGTTTAAATACGATGCGTCATCCGACAAATCAGTATGTTTAGTTTTACTTGATGGTGAAAAAGTATGCAATACAAAGTTGTGTGGAAAGAACCCAACAAATCTTAAAGTTAGTTTATCTGTTAGAGGATATGTTTTCATTTTGAAACAAACGACTCATTTTTATCATTTTAGAGTAATTATTCAATAACGTATACGAACTTATTTATACATTAATTGATAAACAGATAGATAAATAAACATATAAATATACAAACAAAAAATTTTATAAATATGTTTATTTTTTTCTAGCTACATTTAGCAAGAAACCATAAGTCTGTACACGTTGAGCTGGAAGAGTCGGAATTAAAGAAATTAAGTGAAAAAAAGCAAACAGGGATAAAGAGAAAAGCAGTGGATGAAAATGGACCTACTCTTTTAGAATCGTCCTCAAATCAGAACCAGACCTTGATTCAATGCATTAATCGTAGGAATACCGCATGGCCTATTAATTCACACGAGCATAAAATTCGACTAAACTCTCTTATTCAAATGATAATTGCAACATGTAATCCAGTGACATTGGTGGATAATGCGAATTTTAGAAAGTTAGTTAATACCTTGGATTATAAATTTTCATTGCCTGCTTCTGCCAAAATTACTAGCCTACTTAATGAAGAATTTACTGTTTTAACGAGAAAACTTCGTGACTTCATATCTGAAGGCAGGCGCTTCACAATATGCCTTGATGGCTGGACTAAAAAAGGTCTTACTGCGTCCTTTTTAGGAATTTCGGTTTGTTTTTTTCACTTCAAATCCGAAAAACCAATACATGCTCTGCTTAATTTGTATCTTGTGAAACATCCACATACAGGTGAACAAATTGCTAATTGTTTTGAAAAATGCCTAAAATATTGGAGTATTTCCAGAGAAAAAGTATTGCTTGTTATTTCGGACAATGGAGCAAACATGGTCAAAGGCATAAAGTTGTCGAGAATGAAAGCTCATGCTGAACGTGATATACTTATTGAATTAGAAAGTGAGGTTAATGAAGAGCAGATAACAGATCTGGAAGACGATGAGAATATGACAAATAGTGAAGAGTGGGAACATGTTGACTTGATAGTTGATGTAATAGAAAACGTAGCATTTAGAAGATTGGGATGCATTGCACATGTTATACAGTTAGTTGTAAAACTTGCATATGATGGTAAATATCATGGCTTACTTTTGAAGGTACGTGGATTAGTGGGAAAAGTTCGCAAATCTTCTGTTGCATTGGAAAAAATTATCAACAAATGTGGTAAGACTGTGATCAGCGACTGTTCTACAAGATGGAACAGCACTTACTTTATGGTTCGGAGATTTCTGGAAATAAAGACATCTATCAACGAAGTTCTTGGAGACCTTAACATTGATTCACTTGCCAATAGCGAATGGTTAATGCTTCAGGATTTTGTCAATCTTTTAGAACCTTTTACCAATGAAACTGATATTCTTCAGACGGATGCACTTTCACTATCCAGTGTTATACCTTCAATACTTAATTTAGAATGTCACCTTGAGCAATTTGGAGATGCCAAAGATGTAGCAGTTAAAATGCTTGAAGATCTACGCCGTCGTTTTGCCGTTCTTTTGCAGCCAAACGATCCTAATTTTAATCCACTGCCATGTGCCGCATGTCTACTTGACCCCACATGTGCAATAGCTCTTTTAGGTAATGAGCATACACAAATCAGAAAGTGTGCAAAGAAATTTTGTCAGAGGCTAAAAAATGGGTGCAACATGATTTACCTTTAGGCAAGTGCATCTACTCTTTCTGTTGAGATTGCTCCAGAAATAAATGGATTAACAAAATGGAAATTTTTAGCGGCAAAACAGCGAGTAGAAAAAATAAAGCTTATTCCAGGTAATGAAGCACAAAATGAACTCAACAAATATTTTATTGAAATAAGGAACAGCTCTATGTGCCAAAATGCTTTAAATTTCTGGAAGATGAGACGTGCTGTTTACCCACATATTGCACAATTAGCTGAAGACCTCATTGCAGCTCCTGCAACTCAAGCATATGTTGAAAGACTTTTTTCAATCTGTGGCTTGCTCACAAATGGACGGAGAAATCGAATGTCAGCGTCATTGGAAATGCGAGTTTTCTTAAAACTAAATTCTCATCTAGTCTAGATGATAATCATATAATCACTAGGCCCTTTATTTGTAAAATATATGAGTAATTATTAAAGTCTATACAATAACTATTCATTAGTTTTTATTGTTACCAAATTTGAGGAGTTTTTTTTATACCTAATAATTGAAATTTTTTTAAGTTTTAGAGCAATAAGGACAGGTTGTTGTGTTTTTTATTAAGAGCGGTGGGCGGGGCTCTAAACTTCTAGCCATGGGACTGGGTGTATTACATTTAATTAAGTTCTCATTTTTTTGTTTGTTTATAGAACTAAGACTTACTTCTTTTAATTATATATGCCTATATTATTTATAAATTATACTAAATTATAATTAGATAAGATAAAAAATTTATACGACAAACGAAAATTGAACTAAATAAAAACTAAAACTAAAATTATTTTAAGATGAACTGAATAAAAACTAGAACTAAATTTATTTACTGAACTGAATAAGAACTAGAACTAAAAACTTTGCCTCTAAACTGAATAAAAACTAAAACTAAAATTATTTTCCGAACAAAAATATCACTGATTTAAACAACACGCCATCTAAAAATTCAAATACATTTTTATTAAGAGAGTAATTAACTATTTTATACGCCCTGATAAAATCTCAAGGTATAAAAGCAAATTTTCTTTGGAATTTAGTGTGATTTAATCCTTAGGGACTAAGCGTAAGAGTAGATAAAAATATTTAAAACAAAGTGAGCACTTCAGTAAAGAAACCTAATTCAATTCAAACTAGTATATAAAAATCAGAATAATATTTTAAAAAACATTTTTCTTTAACTATTATCCATACGCATGCCAAACGTATTGAAATCAATAGGAAACTTCGTCACTTTTTTTTTATGTTAATTCAACTCCCCAAGGCCGAGAAGGCCACTACAGTTGAGGAGGCTACTATAACTGTGGTTACAACCCTCTCTCAACTCTATAACTCCGAAACACGAACCTTGACAAACAAGGCCACTGCGCGGAGAAACAAGTTGAGCGAGGTAGTTGAGCGAACATTTTGTTTAGGCAAGTGCTCCACCACTTCACCACTACCGCATTGCTTATATACCGGTACTTGTTTCAGACGTCTAGAGGTTCTTGAAGAATAATGCAAAAAAATCTACTTAATATAAATTTGCAATACATTTCTCAGGGTGTTTTACCTTTTATTAGAAAATTTATAATTCTAGTTTTAAAAAAGTATTGAGTTTCAAAATACAGTGTCGTTTTTTTCCAAGACTTTTGCTACGTAGTAAAAAACTCGCCTCATAATTGACAGTTTAACTAAAACATAATCATTTGGTTTTATTTTGTCACAGCCAATATTTTCAAAATTCTTTGTATTAATTCCTGCACAGATAAATTAAAAATTTCTCCACTAGATAAAAAACTCATTTGCTCATTCTCTGAACTAGAAGCTTATACAGTTTTGGTTTTGTGTTTTTTCTTTACTTTGTACTAGGAAAATAATTATTATTAACAAAGGATTTTTTTTTCTTTTTACTCTTTTTTGTTCTTCAACTAACTTGTACCATGGAACGTCCCAAGGTACAACGATAAGTTCCAAGGTAAAATAGGTAGTTAAAAGTGTTTTAGATAAGTTGAAAGACTAATTAACCATACCATTGAAAGGGCTATTTGAAATATCATTGAAAATTTTATGATTAATAAAATTCTTTTAGCAGAATAATGAAACAAAAACAAAAAAAAAACAACAAAAAAAAAAAAAACATCAAAGGTTTACTCATCAATGATGGGTTTACTGTAACTATTTAACAAAACTGGCTAAAAGGCTGAAACGCTAAGTGGGGTTAACCCATGAGTAGCCACAATATCACGTTGTCGGCCAGCCACTTTTAGTGGCAACCACTAATGGTCCACTAAGTAATCCTTGACTTGAAATATAAAATTGAATTTTGTCTTGATGTAAACAGGATCGCCCTACTTGCATTTACCATGTTTTTACAACTAAAAAAACTTTTCTAGGCGAGGAAAAAGCTGTATGAATTTCTTTCCAGCTGTTTGAATTACCTCCCAGGCATATTGAGCTTATTGAAGTTTTGTTTGTCGGTTACTTAGTGGACCATGAATGGTATCCGCTAGAAGTTGCCAGCCGATGACTTTCCAATATGAAATATAGTGGCTAGTCATCAGTAAGCAACTAGAGGCTGTCACTAATTGTCCTTTAATTAACCGATTACAGTGGACCGCTCATAATGCGTATATAGGTCCACTGAAGTTCTTCTGCAAATGTTTGCTGGGTAATACCAACTTTGTTTGTGTTTATTTTACATAAACTTAAAAAAATAGAAAACAAAATGAATAAATAAATTATTTTTTTCTAAACTGAAATACTGAATTATCAAATATGAAAATATTGGATATCAAAATACTTAATTATCATGACATTCTGAATTAACATGAAAATAACATGAATTATCAAATATAAAAATTAACAATTTAGTATTATAAATTAACAAGTTAATTTTATAATTACTTTAATATATTTTTTTATTTAATATTATAAAAACTTTTAAATAGATTTTATAAACAAATTATATGCTTATTAATAAGAAAATAATTTGAACAGAAATAAAATTTTGAAAATCTGCTAAATTAAATTTTTTGTTATGCAGTGGCCGTATTCTCATATCTCCGTTAAGCGTAACGGAGCTTTTATATAAAATTTCATGACAATATTTCTAAGACAAAAAATGACATAAACTTTATTTAAATTTGTTTAAATAATACTAATACTAAAATAAAACGATTTTATTTTAAAAAATCATACATTTAAAGAATTTTTTTGATAATGTAGTTAAAAAGAAATTTTAGACAAACGCTCCATTAAGCTTAACGGAGAGATGAGAATACGGCCACAGAGTGTTTCAGCATGGAATTATGAAATTGCAAGTGGCCATTTGCATATTATGCAATTCGTAAATCAATTATTCATTTGTAATTGTTAAATTTAATTTTAAAGATAAACAAATTCTATAATACGCATTTGCCTAAAAATCACGTATACCAACTAAAAATTTGGTTTGTTAATGCCTAGTAAAAACTCTTTATTGTTAAACAACTATTTTAAACTGATTTGCTTACCTATTGATTATTCTAAATTTCCTGTTTGTCACTATGACCAAGTTATTGTTAATTTAAGTTACATTTATAAAAGTTACTTTTAAATAACAGTAGAGATAACAGAAAACAAATCACAAATTTATTAGCTTACAGTTATGTTTTACGAAAATTAAAGCGATATTGAATTTAACAACTAAAATGAAATATTATGATAATAAATAAATCAAGTTGATTTAAGTCCAAATATAAATAAAAAAGAATAAAAATAAAATGTTTATAAAATATTAGAAACATATTTTATTTAATCTTCAGATTCCCGCAGTTTATTTATGGTAATTATTATTGTAATGAGTGAAATAAAAGATTTTCATTTTATAAATTTAATTACAAATAAACTTTCATTGTGTAAATCTAAAAATTAATAAAAGTTACTCAACAAAATCCTACACGAAGTATTACCAAAAAAGAAAATGTCCTTAGCTTTTCAAAAGGGCACCCTAAATTTGCTGGGCGTGACGTAGGCTAGCCACGACTCTCTCTTATGTATATAGATAAATATATATGTTTATGTGTATTGATATAAATATGTTTATGTATATGTATTGTTATATATACATATATATATATTTATTGCTATACAATTGTTAATATTTTGTTGTAATTAAATTTTATGATTCAAATTAGGTTGTTGTTAATTTGTAAATGAGAAATTTAATATAAGTATCAAGTAACAATTTCATGAAGTTGATAAAAATAGGCAGGAAAAGTACAGTAATTGAAATTCCTTTACCATTTTATAAATGTTTCAAAAAAAATTTGGAGAACCATATTACGTTATAAAAGAAAAACGCAAAAGCAAGGCCGAGGTATTTATTGAAGAATCACTAATCTATAAATATAAATATATTACATATAAATATATTACATATAAATATTGTAATTTCAGTTTGGATTTTGAAGGGAATAAAGCTTGTTTACACAAAACTGCGAAAATGAAATCGTCGAAGTTCATGCTTGCAATCTTTGCTGGAGTTTCTATTGCGATTTTGTATGCTGGATTAATTGTGCTTTTTATTCAACAAAAAAACATGGCGCAGCTGTTAGATAATTTTGATGAAATTTTTTTACAAAACTCTAGTTTGCTTTTAATAAATTCATCCGCTGCTTTATTTCCAAAACCACTACCTACAACAACAACAACAACAACAACAACAACAACAACAACATCTACAACAAAAAGCACATCAACAACCACAACTAGAGCAACACCAATAATATACGGTATGTACCAGATTTACATAAAATAACTATAGTAAACTATATATGATATATATGTATATATATATATATATATATATATATGTGTGTGTGTGTGTGTGTGTGTGTGTGTGTGTGTGTGTGTGTGTGTGTGTGTGTGTGTGTGTGTGTGTGTGTGTGTGTGTATAACATCTATTTGGTAATGTAAAAACGAAATTTGATTTTTATTTTAATGATATTTTTAATGTTCTTCCTAAATTTTCAATAAATTTAAGTTATTAGGTTCTTATAACTTCATGTTTTTAAAGCCTAAAGTTATAAAAGTACAATAACATAACATAATGAAACAATGTGTCATGTATTTTTATCATATAAAACCAGCATATTAAACAGAAACAAAATTTATTTTATTAATTTATCATTTACTTTATTGTTAAAAAATATAGAATATTAAAATATATACAGAAAAATTGTGCAAATTAATTAAATAAAAAATAATTTAAAAGTTTTAAAATTAGCTATAGGGTTTTATATGCAAAGACTTTTATATACAAAGAACTGCACATTTTAACTTTTTTCATGCTTTAAATATTATGCTTTTCACCAAAAGATTTTCTGAACAGGTTAATAAATTAACATATTTCTTTAAGTCAGATTAAATAAGCATATTTTTTTTAAGCGTGGTTTCCAATAGTTGTAGAAATGTTGTGAAGTAGTTTGCGTTTTTTGTACAACAATTGTTGCCGAAATAGGTTTGATTCTATTTACGCAACTTGTTTTGTAACATAAATTTTGTTGTATAACCGAGGGCAACTTACGTATGGAAATGTTTCCATTATAAAACATTATTGTTGTACAACTGCTGTATTGGAAACCAAGCATTATTGGTGTACAACGGTTGTACGACATTTCTACAATTATTGGAAACCAAGCATTAATCACTTTATTTTCTCGTTTTGAATCACCAGATAAGAAAAACTAGAAACGCTAACATTGTTTTTTAAATTATTTAATTTTCATCCGCGTAAAACTTTATTAATTTTTTTTCACGTGTTTTGAAATAAGTACTGTTTAACAGTCTTTTAATATGAAGTTTTTATTAAAAAGTTCAATAAAGAACACAATTCACTCAGTTCAATAAAGAATACTGCTCATTAGAAAAATTTATTAAAAATACAAATTACTTCAATTAGATTCTAATACAATAAATTTAATAAAATATTTTTTTTTAAAACGTGATTTTAAAATAGAAAAAGCGTTTTCATTAGCACTAAATATATATTGTTAAACATGTATTAAATGTATTTGTATAAGAATGCAAAACATTTTTTTTTTTTTCCTATTTTTATATCAATTTAAAAGTCATTTTATTATATGACAAAAGCTATGTATTTTTTAATGTTTTGTGTATATTTTATTTTTCGTTTATAAACAGTCAAAGTCTTCTTGCTCCAACCAATATTTATATATGCCTTTAAAATAATATTTATTGTAATATTTATATATGCCTTTAAAATAATATTTATTGTCTTTATTGTAAATATATGAAACGGCAAAAAAAAAAATAAACTTAATAAATATAATTCATTTAATTTAATATTTTGTAAGACCTAAATTTTTATTAGAAAATTTAGGTCTTACAAAATATTAAATTAAATGAATTATATTTATTAAGTTTATTAAATTTTTATATTAATGTTATATTATAACATAAGTAATAATTATTATATATATATATATATATATATATATATATATATATATATATAATATATATATATATATATATATATATATATATATATATATATAATTATTATTATTTTATTGTAATATAGTATGATCTGTTAAATCATATCATATAATATATCATATGAGATATGCATTAAATATCATTGGACATGACATGATCATGTCAAAAATTATTGATGAAAAAATTTTAAATTTTTAAATGCTTATTACTCTAAAACTTGTGCGTCTTATTTGTTGTTTAATACATTAGACAATCTATAAATTTTTAAGATAAATTATATATGTTTTAGCAAATGCTACAACATGTTCTCCTTTGTTATGCAAGCTACCAAGTTGTCGATGTGCTGGGCTCGATACCCCTGGATCCTTGCCAAGCAGCAATACTCCTCAAATGATAATACTTGGAATGGATGGTGGTATAAATGTAAACAATTATCAAATTTACAAAACCATTCTCGATGGAGCAAAAACTATAAATGGTTGTCCTGTCAAAATGACTTTTTTTGTTTCTGGTGATTATGTTGATTACTCTATGGTACAAGAGCGTTCAAATTCTGGTATTGTATTTATTTGTATATGTATGTGAGTGCAAAACACAATTTTTTGTTCGAAAACAACATTATTTATGAAACTTTTATACAATTTTGCTTCATTTGAGTACCAAGTTGACATGTTTTTGAAAAACTTTTTTTTGAAAATATTAGGGACCCATTAAATATTCAAGGGTCTTGGGGGCCCCTTAAAATACTTTTTTTTCAAAAAAAAGGAAAACCTAGTGTTTTTGTATTAGGTAGAACTCAAGGGGGTGGGAACAGTTTTTTCTCAAAAAAGTTGTTTTAAGAGTTTATAGTTTCAGTCACAGCATATATATATATATATATATATATATATATATATATATATATATATATATATATATATATATATATATATATACATATATATATATATATATATATATATATACATATATATATATATATACATATATATATATATATATATATATATACACATATATATATATATATATATATATATATTTATATATATATATATATATATATATATATATATATATATATATATATATATATATATATATATATAAATAAATTAGTAAAAAATCACTTTCCTTTTTATTTTTATTTTACACTGTATTTCATCTATAAAGACTCACCAGAAATCTGAGTCTTTGATAAAACACAGTTTAAAATGAAAAAAATTTGATCAGTGATTTTCTACTAATTAATTATTGCTCTGTTCTTTTAAGAAAAATGAGCACTTTATTTTTATATATACATATATAGTATATTTATATCTATATTGTATATAGTATGGTGAAAATTTTCTGAAGTGCTTGTAAGTTTGCAATTCAAAAATTAAGATGAGCAGATTATATTAGTCTGGTTTTGACTTTATTATGTATTAACAAATATTATGTTTCAGGTCATGAGATGGCTGATTATTCTATTACGCATCAAAGTCCTAATACTTGGTGGACAAATGTAAGTAAACTTTTTAAGGCAGCTACACAACAAGCAAATTTAATATTTAATTTGTTTTTATTTTTATTTCTAGGCTAATAGAGAACAGTTGACACAAGAAGTTGTTGGTCAGCGAAGCAATCTAAATTTGAGATCTAATGCTCCAGTTTATGGATGGCGTACTCCATTTCTAGAATCCACTGAAGTGACATATCAAACTATTTATGAAAATAATTTTATATATGATAGTTCATTAGTAACACGAGTATCAGAAAGATGGTGGCCTTACACACTTGATTATTTACCAAGTTCAGCTTGTTATCTAAAAAACTGTCCAACTAGTAATTTATATATATACATATTTTTTTTTGCTTTCTTGTTTATTTTTTTTTAAATAAGCTATAAATATTAAGACAAAATGTTAAAATTGGTGTGCTAAGTTTTGCTTTGAATACCTTTAGAGTCATATCCTGGTCTTTGGGAGGTTCCTTTACATGTATGGTCAGATGGTTCAACAGGAAATACTTGCATCACATTTGATCAGTGTCTTGGAAGCGTGACTGCTGGAGATGTAAACAGTGTTTATAATTTATTGATGCAAAATTTTAACATGAGTTATTATGGTGGCAAGCAACCATTTACAATGTTTGGATCACCTTTATGGATGGATGAACCTTCTGAAGAGTACAGAAAAAATGGTTTGTGGTTTTATTTATTTTATATTTATGTTGTGACTGATTAACTATAAGTTTTGAGATATTGCATCATTGCAGAACTTTATAAAAATTTTTTGCTCTATGTTAAAGAAATAAAATCTATTTTATAAAGGTTTAATAAAGTTCATGAATACTGTGATGCAACTTCCTGATGTTTATTTTGTAACTGCAAAAGATTTGATTGATTGGACAAAAAATCCAATTGGATTGGATAAAGGACCGTTTCCTTGCTCTAGTATTCAAATTGTTTCAAATATACCTACATTAACAAGTATTTGAGTTATTTATGTTAACAAGTATTTAAGTTATTTATGTAAATGACTTTATTTAAAACTCATTTTCTTTTAACTTTAAAATTTTTAACTTTTATTAAATTTTTTTAAATTTTATTATATTTTTGAATTTGATGTTTAGCACCTGCACTACCTCTCACTGTACCAATTGTTCGTAAAGTGTACAGTAAGTTATAAAGTCTTTTTTGAAGTCATAATATTATAAACAAAATAAGTTGTCATTTTAATTTAATATCATTTATAAATGTTTAATGTAATATAATCATAAATCTCATATATGATTGTTTGTCATGAAGATAAGAAAATGAAAAATTAGTAAAAGGGAGAATTAATAATTATAATTTAATAGTGATAATTATTAATTCTCTTAATCATGAGTTCGTTTTTTTTGTTCTGAGATAGAGGCATCTAAAGTTTTTAATTCATCACTGCGTTTGATCTTTTTAATTAAACCTAATTGTTTTTACAATACTTTTTGAATATGTTATTATTTTTCATAATATAACAAATAAAAAATTTTAAAAAATTTAATTTCAAGAGATTGTAACAATGCAAATGGACTTAAGATTATCTTATAAACTATATAAACTAGACAAAATTCTACAAATTAAATTGCCGCTTCAAAATAAGTCCATCTTAAGTCTGTTTTAGCTGTTCTGAGAAAAAGACATTTTAGATTTTAAATTTAATTACTGCTTTTGATTTTTTTAATTAAATCTACTTGTTTTCAGTTATTTATTAAATGTATTAAGCATTTTAAATTAAAAAAGTTTTAATTTTTTTTCAATAAAATGAACTTAAGATTAAGGTTTTGTTTTGCATTAGCGATGTCTCTTAATTATTTTTTTTTAGGACATAAAATATTTGAATTTTACTTATAGTTGCAAAAGTTGAATCAATTTCGGTTTCAAACTTTGTGAGATGACTTTTGTGCATCTTAGGAGTATTTTAAACCAAGTTTGCCAAATTTGGATTTAAGAGTTTTGCTTTGCAGTATTATATATATTAATTTTTATTGATAATTATGGTTATTTTTTGTATATTTTTTCAATTAGATCCTGCTATACCATGTAACCCATCTATTTGCAAGCTACCTAATTGTCGTTGTACTGGTGTTGATACTCCTGGTGGTTTACTACCAAGTAACACTCCTCAGATTATGTTATTTACAATGGATGATGGAATCAATGTAAATAACATTCAGATTTACAAAGACCTTTTTGATGGAGTAAAAAATGCTAATGGATGTCCTGTCAAAGCTACTTTTTTTGTATCAGGCGATAATACTGATTACTCAATGGTAAAAGAACTTAATGATAGAGGTTTGACTTTTTTTTAATATTATATACTAAGAGAGTGAAGGTACTCAGAGTTTCCTTATATCTTTAAAAAATATTTTCCATAAAAGCTATGGAAAAAAAAAACTTTTATACCATTTTGTATAAATATATCTTAAATGTAAATAATACTATAGGGCATGAAATTGAAGATCACTCAGTTACTCACAAATTTCCAATATCCTGGTGGTCAACCAATGTAAGAAACATTTGAAAATCTTTTTTATTTATTTTTAGTTTATTTTGATGATTATTAAATTTTTTGGTGGTTTTTAGGCTTCATATGACGATTTGGAGTTTGAAGTTCTGACACAGAAGTTAACGTTGGAAACAAAGTCTTCTGCACAAATATCTGGTTGGCGAACTCCATTTTTAGGATCAACTGAAAACACCTTTAGAGTTTTAGCTGATAATAACTTTTTGTATGACAGCTCTATTGCTACTCCAGTCGGAGTTAGATGGTGGCCATACACTTTTGACTACTTACCAACAATACCTTGTCCTGTTAAAAACTGTCCAACCAGTAAGTTTTTAATGTTTGTCATGAAAATTTATACTTAAAAATATCATTAAGTATCAGTAATATTCTAAATTATTTTTAGATTCTTATCCTGGTCTGTGGGAAATGCCTTTAAACACTTGGTTTTGCAATGATAATGGTACTGTTGGAGCAATGTTTGATGATTGTGCCCCTTACCTGGTAGACCAAGATCCTGATTCTGTCTATAATATGTTTATGAAAAATTTTTTACTTCATTATAATGATAAAAAAACACCTTTTTCTATGTTTGCCCATTATTTTTGGTTTGCTGGTCCTACTTTAAGTTATAGAAAACAAGGTATTGTTAAAATATTTTAGATACTTAATTTACATAAACAACTTTTTAAACATTGTTTTTACATATATAATATTGGATTTATTTAGGACTTATTAAATTTTTGAATAAAGTCCGGTTGTATCCTGATGTTTTTTTTGTATCTGTTAAAGACGCTATTCAGTGGACAAGAAATCCAGTTGGTTTGGATAAAAAACCTTTTTCTTGTTAAAGCAAAACTAATTTGAGAAATTAGATTTTATGTTATTATTCAAGTGTAAATTATTATTAACGACATTTTTTTAATCGATCAATACTGAAAAAATATATACGTAGTTTTTAAGTTCTTTTCGTTTCTTTTTGTTTTACTTCCCTTTTTCTCTTCTTTAAACTCATTTTGAGATTGATGTTAGAAAAAAGCTTTTGGAAAAAATCCATAAAATACATAATCGAAATTAGGGTATTTTTATATATCAATTATTGTTGTCAAAGAGGTATTTATAATAAAGGACAACATCCAAAATAAAAAAGATTTTTTGTGGAAGAATTGAGGTATTTATAATAAAGAATTTGAGGTATTTATAATAAGGGACAACATCCAAAATAAAAAAGATTTTTTGTGGAAGAAAATAGATTTGCAGCTTTTTACTCAAAAAATAAAACTGAAGAACTTAAAAAAAATTTTTTACTTAAAAAATTAGTGACTAGAAGCATCATACTCTGGTCCTGACTGGTAAAACGTAAGTCTAGATTAGCAAAAGACAGAACTCTTTCTAAAACGTTAATTCTTTTTGCTAAACGTTTCTTATTAAATCTTAATTGAACTTTTTGCTTTTACAGAACAGTATAAGAACAAATAAAAAATAAACTTGCGAATGAACTAACAAAATCTGGTTGGTTAGTTGTATGTATATATGTATATATATAAGTTTAATTTTGCTGTGAGCATATATTCAGGAAGAGTGCTCGATGAATGATATCAGAGCTATATAATTGATATTTTGACGAAATTAAATAAAAAATAACTACATAATTTTTACTACTAAAAGTTTCATGCCTTTATCAATCATCAGGTAAAAATACATTATTTTTTTCGTTAAAAAATATACTCTTAATAAACATCGTGACGTTCAAAAACAATTATAAAATGTTACTATTTGCAAGCGTGGTTTGGTTTTTTAATCTTTGGGCTCGTGGTTTTCAAGCAAGAACTTGTTTTCATGACGGCACTTAAATATTATTTCTGTTTTCTTATTTAATAATTCTTGCGTACCTTTGCATGATATTATGCAAAGTTTATCATGAAGGCAAAGCAAGCATTTTTTTGTTACGTTGCTGTTGGCGGGGACTTGTTTAATTATAGACCAGATTAATTTGGGTGGCTTTTTAAGTTTTCTTTTACCTGTCATATATACTTTGAAAAGGTAGTTGAATTTTTCATCTTTTTGTTTGTGAATGAGTGTTTGTGGTTAGCTCATCTTTTTTTCCATTCGCCTTCTGCTAGGCTAATATATACTATTTCTGGAGTTGGGGGGAGAGGGGAGGGAGGACAAGGCTATTGCGGTTGCAGATAAAATACTTTTCAAAGTATTTTATCTGCAACCGCATTCAAATTTCTTTACTAAATTATCGGAGTACTTATGAGAAAGTTAAGAAAATCATTATCAACGGTTAGTTAGTAAAAAGAAACGAAAAGAGATAAATTGTATTATAATCCGTAGCGTAGCAACAAAAAAAGTTCCACCACCCCCTCCTTCCGCAAAATATTAATATGGGCTCTTAAATTACTCTGCTTCCCCCCTTCCTTCTTTTCATCTTTTTGATAAAATAATACATTAAAGCTAAAACCTTATTCTTAAAAACAATTTTAATTTAATTTAGTAAAAACCAGTATGTTACACTATGCAAGTCTAGTTAGTAGAAAATCTAATAAAAATTTTTTTCTTGCCTCCTTAGCTGCAAAATAGTATATAACACCGTTTAAAATTACTTGCGCTGCTATTTTTGCTTTAATAGCTAATAGGTTTAGAAAAAATGTTTTGGTCCAACGTTGCCTTTAATATGTTTTAAATCTTTTTAATGTGGTTAAGGATCTTTTTGCAGTTGCCACAAAATCGGATAATATCATATACAATCAAGAGGTTAAGGTTCAAGTCCATCTGTGTCTCTGAAACTACTATCAATCTGTTTCTTTGCTCAGACAATCCTCTGCGCAGACCGCCCCCCCTATTTTTATTTTAAATGTTTGTGTTTCCGAGTTGAAAAGAGAAAGAGAGAGAGTTGTAAATAGAATTTTAAAAAAATGAGTAGCTCTTTTGACTGTAGTGGAAACATAGGTATTGGGAGGTGCAATTATATATTAAAAAAAAATTGCAGTACAGATACAATAATAACAATTCGAAACCCAATTGAGCTTGAGCTTTTTTAAAAAACATATTTAACCTAGAAATAAAAGAAAGTGTTATTTACAGGACTTGAATGAAGCGTATAGTGATTGCAAGTTGTGATTGCTTTTTGGACCATTGGTTTTTTCTTAAAAAAATATTTTCAAAATTTTTTTTTTTGTTTTTCATTATTTATTTTTTCTTTTTGTCTTGTTGCAATTCCTTAAAAAGTTTTTTAAAAAGTAATTCCTTAAAAAATTCCTTACTAAAATAATCCGCTGTATTTCCCCTGACTCGCTCTATATAATTAAAATTACGATATATTTGTGGTTGTACTTCGTTTGAAACTATAACATTTTCAATACAAATTGCCAAATTTGGCATTTATAAATTTGGGGTACCACAAAACGACGAAATCACAAATTCACAATTCAATAGTATTTTGCACAATAACCAAAAAAGCCACAAAGTAACTATTGACCGCTCTACTATCTTCTAGTTTTTAGCATGCGTTTTCGGTCATTTAACTTTCATGCTCGTACGATGTTGACAGCAGTTTGTTCTTATTTAATTTTGACCTTAAGCCGTTGGCTGTGGTTTTTTAATATTTATTGAATTACTAAAATCAATTAGCAAAATAACGCCTTCCCGCGCAGTTGTACAAGCTGAATGGGCGTTATATGTTGTTGAAACTGTCACCATTCGTTTCGATCAGCTAACATGCCTACTGATAGAATAGTGCAGCAGCACAATTCTAACAGTAGGTATTAGCATCTCTATATAGAGCACTTGTTAGTTGCTTAGCACTTGTTAGAAAAATTAGTTAGCACTTGTTAGAAAAATTATTAATTACTTTGTTTTACCAAGGTTGCTACGTGGCGGTGGAAGTATTGGTATTTTGGGATACTTTAATTTTAACAGAGTAGGTGTGTGTAACAGTTATACAAGCCATGTATAACTGTTACACACACCTACTCTGTTAAAATTAAAGTATCCCAAAATACCAATACTTCCACCGCCACGTAGCAACCTTGGTAAAACAAAGTAATTAATAATTTTTCTAACAAGTGCTAAACCGCTAATATGTTTCCTAAGTAAAGTATTTCTAACTGCATTTGAAGAAGGGCTATTTTACGGTTTTCTTTGATTATGTTGATGAGATGAATAGTTAACTTTGGATTAGCTCTACAAAATATATATTTTTCGCTCCGAAGTTTTCTTTAATCTACCAGATCCTTCATAAACTCGGATGCCACCTGTTGCTTTAATTGTTTTTGGTGTATTTTTGACGTAATTGTCTAAAATTTTAAATAATTTTAAACAGTTCTACTAAAGTCCAGCAGAATAGTTTCTACGCACCTTAACCATTACAATATCTTACAATATCTTATAGATCTTACAATATCCAAGAACGTAAAATAAAATCTTATCTAATCCTTGTAATATCTAAAGAGACTTTAAATGTGACTAAGCTGAACATTATAAGCAAATTAATAAAATCATTATGAAGATGGGTTGAATAAAAAGTAGAACAAAAACCAATTTAAAAGTTTGTGCATCTTTAGTTTTTACAACATTTTTTAGCAGATTTTTTTAATTATGTATCAATGTTTTGCGTATTCCTTTGATTAAACTAAATTTTTTTTATTAAAGCACTGTATATTTTAAAGAATATGTTGTTAAAAAGTTTAAAAACTAAAGTTTTTAATTTTTTTTCTATAAAGTATTTGTTAAATTATAAAATTTCAGTTCACTTTAACATGGACGTAGAGTACTCAAATTTTCGAGGGGGGCAAAAAGTTAGAGGTTCCATTTTTTTTTGTACAAAAATGTAAACGTAGTAAAACTTTGATTTAAGGTTTCTTTTAAGATTCTAAAAAGAAAAACTAAAATTTGAAACGTCAGCGATGGACGTGTTTAAAGACTTTGTAACTTCATAAAGTTATTGTCAAGTGAACTCACCGTTACTTTGAAATTTGCATAAAATAAGCTTCACTACTGTAAAGTCAAGTCCACCAATATATCTTGTCTAATTGGCTTTCTTTAAAGATTTTTTAATTGATACTTTCTTTTATTTGATTCTTAAAATTTAATTTAGTTAAAACAAAATCTACACAAAATCAATAACACCAAAAAATTACTTTAAAGCATTAGTATACAGTGAGAAAAAAAGCTTAAATTGAGATCAAAAGACTATCTGAAGTTTTATTTTATCGAAAAAACGTATTTTTTTAAATCTAAAAGTGTTTAAATTTTCCAAATATTTATTATTTAAAAAACGATTTTTTGGGATTGTTTAGAGCAAAGGATTATTTATTCCTTTGCTTTTCACGGAAAAAACTTTATTTCTTCCTCTGTTTAAAAATAAAAAATCGAAATAATATTTATTACAAAATTTGATAAAATTTTAAGAGGGGCAAACGAAATTTCAAGGGGGGCAAAGTTGACTCAAAGGGGGCAGCCTGCCCGCGTTGCACACCATTATGAACTTTAATATAATAAAAATAAAACTTATAAAGATAAAATTTATAAAAATCTTTATGATCTTAGTGTTGTTCAAAAATTTTTTAGTTTTACTGCGTGACAATTTTTAATCAAAGAGTTAAAATGTTAATGTTAAGTGTTATTTTAGCAATTTTTCAATGTAAGTCCAATCCGCTTGCCCTAGGCATATGACGTCACGTTATATCAAGGAATCGGAACGACATAAGTTTATGTTTATTTTTTTAACCAGAGTCTGTACTATTTGTGTAAAATGTTTGAGAATGAAAATTCTAAAATTATGGTATTTAGGCCCACTTTTGAAGAGTTCAAAGATTTTCCTAAATACATAAGTTATATGGAGTCTAAAGGTGCACACCATGGTGGCATTGCAAAGGTTTGTTGAGGTTTATTTCAATGTAATGAAACATACATGTAACTTAAATGTCTATGTTATAAAAATTTTCACGCATATATAGTAATATTATTGTTATATATATCGATAGAAGTTCTGTTTTTTTAGAATCTGTATGCTCTTAGATATGACATGTGGTGCAAGCCATACAGGGTTTGGGTTAGGAAAACACCTTTCTTAACCAAAACTGTTTCTAAACATAAGTTGTTTAAGTCTTAGGCTCTCAGATTTCCATTAATGTAAACATCGGTAAATTCTCAAAGGTCAATTTTAACTCAAAATTACTATTTATTGCAAATTTAATGAAAAAAATTAGTCAAAAACTGTAAAAGATTTTTTCTTTTAAATATTTATGCTTTCCGATGAAAATCAAGGGTGTATAAAATTCAATTGTATTCTAACTCATCTTTGTTTATAAACACATGGTGGCCACAGTCCTGGAATGTCCTGGAATTTCCTGGATTTTTGCAAGTACCCTGGAATGTCCTGAAATGTCCTGGAAAATTACATTTTTTTCAAAAATGTCCTGAAATGTCCTGGAACTTTTTTTTTTCGAGTCAAGTTAAAAAATTACTAATAATATTGAAGTAATATTAAACTTTTTATGCAAAAAATTTTATATAAATGGTTTAAATTTAATTTTAAATAAGAGAGTAATAACAATATAATAATATAATATTCTATTCTATAATTCAATCAATATGAAAGAAATTTAACGTAAAGATAATTGATAATATTCATTTAATAAGATATAAAATGTCCTGAAAAATGCAACAAAATGTCCTGGAATGTCCTGGAAATGTCCTAAAATTTAACTTTTAAAATTTTGTGGCCAACATGAAACACATTGTTATTTTCCTTGTCTTTCTTTTTAGCTTGTAAGTGTTTATAATTTTAAATTGGTAGAGTATATAATAAGGGTTTCTTGTTTTTTCACATTTGTGGAAAAAAAAAGAAATAAAAATAATGAGGTTATATATTTTATAAATATATATAATATTGTCATTCTATAAACCAAAATACTGAGATTAATTTTCAGATAACAGTATTAAATATATATTTATATTATATAATATATAATAATTATATTTATAATGGTTTGTGTATAATTTTATAAGTAATGCAATTAACAACACTTTTAGGCAAAAAAAAGTGTTTTTTTTTTTTGCCTAAAAGTTTATACTTTCTGTCTAAAGTAACTTCATTTGTTATCAATTTCCAGCATAAATTAAAAATAAAATATGTTTTTATCATCTAATAGGAATGCGTAGATGTAAACCTGTTACATTGTTTACTGTCTTACATGATAATGAATGCTGGATTGTCTTGACTCTGCTAAGATTCTCTACTTGATTTTTTTTTACTTGATAGTGGTTATGGATCTCTTTGTGTTATCTGCTAATGAGGGTACAGCTCTAAAACTCAGTGTAATGGTTCAGAGCCCAGCTGGAAGTAAGATTTCTCGAACTCTCAGAGAGGCTGGTTATATCAACAGCTTTAAAATATCAGAGTATTAACAGTGATAAGCACATGGATTATGTCTTTGTTTGTGCTTTTGGTGTGCATTGTCGAAGTCTCATAAGGAGCTTTAAGTAACAATTTTGGGTTATTAGCGAAATTAAATTGACTACATAGCTCATTGCTTGTAATACTGTGCTCTATCTATGAATTAGTAAAGTTCTCTTTAGCTTAAACTATGCCTAAAGTACTCAAAAATGTTAAGTTTAAAACCATCCCCACCACCAAGTAGTAAGTGACCAGGGCCCCAGCCCCGGCTAAAATTGAGACTTTTTGCAAACCTGGGCCTGGCTCCAGCAAAATTATAAGATTTTGCAGAGAGTGATAGCTGGGGCTAGAAAAAATTTATTATACTTTTTATACTTACATTTACTATTTATTATATACTGGCATATATTTATATATTTTTAAACTCTAATTTACTGCAAGCAACCACTATTAAGTTATGAGTTACTTTACAATAAAGGATAGCTTAAAATACTAGAAAATGGTAATCTGAAGACCTTAAAAATTATAGAATTATTTAAAAGAAAAACATGAAAATAGGGAAGAGTTATAAGGCTTTTTTGATGTTCAAAGAAAAAAACTAGAATAAAAGTTTTTGTAGTATTAAGGAACAGGTACAGTAAAAAGATGCAACTTATTGAATAAGAAGCCAAGTAAGAATAAGTTTTGGTTTATCATAATAGAGATGATAGCTCATTTGAGATTTTGATGTTAATGATTTAATCTGTTTAACTGGCAGGAAGAGTGAGGCCATTAGATTCAAGAGTTGAATTAGAGTAAGATTTCTTTGCAAAAAAATCTGTCTTATTCTGGGGAGAAGTAAAAAGATCAGACCTTTGAATTAGAGATTAGGTGTTAGAGTTACTTTAGTTAATGACACTGTTGAAGACATATCAAAAGTCTCTAGAACTTAACATCTGAGAAAAGAAAACAAGATTTAGTAAACTAAGAATAACAGAGTTCATAATCAGATCTTGGAATAATAAAACAACATTTGTTCTTAAGAGAGATGTTCTTGTAAAAAAGAATAATGTTTAATAAAGCAATAGCTCAAGATATTAAAAAACATGGAGTAGAATGAGGCTCAACTTTAAATTTGAGGAATAAAAGCTTCCAAACTTTTAGTTAAGAAGGAGTAAAAGCTTCCAAGATGCACTTATGCATACATATTATGGGTTTAAACATATATGTTTGCTATTTCTTTAGATGCTGGCAAACAATATCCTTTCATATTTGTATAAAATTTAGTATTTATATGGTGTTGTATTTGCGGAAAGAGAAGATGATCAGACAGATGCGTGGTGTGATTTTAGAAAGTCACACCACACATCCATCTAGTTGAGGTTAGAAAAAAATGTCTTATCAGACAAAGTTTGTTAGAGAAGATTAAAGTGATTTAGGTATCAGCATGTAGAGAGGTAGCAGCCTCAGGAGAGAATGGTAGTGGTAGAAAAAAGAGTGCCTTATATATATTGTATGAATAAGGTTTAGTTATGGAAAGAAAATGCTCTAGATTGTTTATATTAGAAAAACAGAATAAAAGAGGAAGACTAAAGCCTGATGATAATGACGATGATGATGATGACGATGATGATGATGATGATAGTGATTATAATGATGATGATGATAATGATGATTATGATGATTATGTTGATCATAATAATGTTTTTATATGCATATATATACAAAATGTAACATGAATTTTGAATTAAAAAATATACTTTACAATGTATAATTGTTTATGCAGCCCCAGTCACAAACTCGGCCCCAGCCCCTGCTATATTTTATCAAACCCGGCCCTGGTCAAATATCAACCCCTGTCACTTACTACCACCAAATTGTTTCAATATATCTTTTTACCACTATTTGTGGTCTTCGAAGAAACCTTCCATCAGCTGAATCTTACCTCTAGCAAAATTCACCAGATCATTCACTAATTTAAAGTTGGCTGTTCCTTCTTTATATCTCAGTATTGATCAGGCTTGGTCAGGAAGCGGGAGCGATCGCTCTCAATTGCTGATCACCCAAATAATATTTAGTTGCGAAAAGCTGGCCAGATTTTTTAGTCGTTTTGAGCACATTTTAAAAAGCAAAAAAAAATGCCCAAAAGATTAATTTGACCAATGAGAGACAATTACAAAAAAAAAAAAAAAAAAATTAGGAAAATAAAATATCTTTTAAAGTAAAAATACTTAAAGCAAAATAAATTATGTTTGGAACAAATATTTTTGAAACATCGCTCTTTTATAAATTTTTTATAAAATTCAGTGACAGTTTTTATATAAAGTAACATCTTTCGATTGTTTAAAAAGGAAACAAATGTTCTTTATTTAACAAAGAGTGTAATATAGTTTTTATTTATATATATATATATATATATATATATATATATATATATATATATATATATATATATATATATATATATATATATATATATATATATATATATATATATTTATTTATATATTATATTATATATTTATATTATTTATATATATATATATTTATTTATATATTATATATATATATATCTTATACTTGTGTCTTATTTCCAGTGCTAGATTAAGGAGGGTTGGGTTTAAAGTTGGCTATAGCCCCAGGCCCCGCAATGTTAGGGCCCCAAAAAAGTCAAGAAGACCTTTTTGTTTAGTCATTTTTACGCTATGGCACATACAAAGGCATCCAAAATAAAAATAGCCCCCAGCCTCGAAAAGTCTAACAAGATTCTAATCAAATTAATGCAAGTTTTAGTTTTATCTAAGCTAAATTATTTTGTAAATAAAAAAGTTAGTTTTTTTATAACCTATTTTATGTTTCGCGTAGTTTGATAGTAAGATAAACAAATGAAATAATTAAATCATTGAATTACTATAGAAATTAATTTAACTACAGACTTAAAAACAAAATTAGTATAGAAATTAAATTTTTCGCTTAGTAAGATAAACAAATGAAATAATTAAATCATTGAATTACTTTAGATATTAAATTAACTAGATAGTAATCAACTAAAAAGGTTAAAAATACTTTATGACGAGGAAGCAAAACTGCATCACAATACCGCTGATGATGTTTAGTGAGTGGGCTTTTTAATTTTAATTAGTATTTAAAGCAGAAAAAAGTATAACGAGTTTTTAAGAATGGCAACTGAAGCGAAAATAATTTAGTTAGTAAACCAATATCTAGAAAATTTTCGTTATATCTGATAACTTGCTATATATATTTTTGTTCTGTCGTGACCTCAGGCGCGGCGCTTGTTCATCCACAAGTTGCTTTGTATGCATTGTTTGTGTTTAGTAACCAGAAACTTCTTATATGTTTGTTACATAATTAGTTTTATTAACTCCTGACAACCCTAATCATTTACCTTCACTCCTTGACTTATGTCTTGTCTCTGACCCTAGCTTATGTTCAGTTTCTCCCTTTTCTCCCTTAGGTGGTTCTGACCATGCAATGGT